GTTGAAAATGTAAAAATTAACAATAAGGATTTCTTTAAGTACATTAAAGGTAGACAAAATGTTAGGATTGGGATAGGGCCCTTGAGGGATGATAAAGGAAGACTTGTATCTGATGATTATGACACAGCTGGATTATTAAATTCTGCATTTTCTTCAGTTTTTACTAATGAAGATTTAAGCAGTATTCTCATCTTGAACAGTTCATAGATGGAAACAAGGTCGAACAATAAGATTGCATTAATTCTGAGCTTGTTAAGAAAAAATTGGGAAGTTTCAAAAATGATACATTTCCAGGGCCACTTACTACTATTTTTTGTAAGTCCTTGAATAGTGGGCGGGTGCCAAAGAATTGGAAGTTAGCCAATGTCACTCCTCTTTTCAAGGGAGATAATAAAAATTGTCCCAGTAATTATAAGCCTTTTAGTCTTACATCAGGTGTGGGAAAAGTATTAGAAAAATCTGGTAAATGATTATTTTCAAAGTCGTTTAACAAAGTTCAGAATTTTATTGGATAGTCAACATGGTTTCACTAAGGGAAAATCTTCCCTTACAAATCTTTTGACATTCTTTGAAATGGTTACTGCTTATGTAGATGAGGGTAAAAGTGTGGATTTAGTATATATCTGGAATTTTAAAAAGCCTTTGACAAGGTGCCACATAAAAGGCTTGTAAAGAAATTATCTCTACAGGTATGGGGGATAAGTTAGTTAATTGGATAGAAGAGTGGTTCGATGGAAGAAAGCAGAGGGTTGTTATAAATGGAGTTCAGCCAAACTGGATTAATGTTACAAGTGGGGTACCTCAGGGCTCAGTCTTAAGATCTTTGTTCTTTTTTATTTACATTAATGACATAGATGAAGGGATGATCAATAAATTACTTACATTTGCTGATGATATTAAAATCTTGGGTGTTGCTAACTATGAAGAGAATGCTGCTGCTTTACAAAAGGATTTAGATCAGTTAGTGAGTTGAGCAAATAAACGTCAATTAATGAGTTTTAATTATAATAAATGCAAGATAATGCATGTGGGCTATCATAATTAATATTATATGTATAAATTGGATGAGAATAACCTTAACAGTGTCATGAAAGAAAGGGGTCTTGGTACAATGGTTGATCAGTCTCTTAAGCCATCCAAGCAGTGTACTGTTGCTAGTGGTAGGGCAAATAAGATTTTAGGTTGTATCTACAGAAATATTGAATATAATTCTAAAGAGGTTATACTTCCATTTTATAGATCACTGGTTAGGCCACATTTGGAATATTGTGTTCAGTCTTGGACTCCTTACCTAATGAAGGACATTGAATTGTTTACTAGAATTGTGCCTGGGATGGAGGGATTATCATACGAGGCGAGATTAAAATATCTGAAATTGTTTTCTCTCGAAAAAAAAAAGAGTTAGAGGGGATCTTATGAAGGTGTTGAAGATTGTAAAGGGAATTAATAGTGTTGATGCATCATATTTTTTCATACTTAACAGTGAGAATAGTAGAACTAGGGGACACAAATATAAGTTTTGGTAGGGTAGGAGTCATCTTCAGCTAAGATAGTTTTATTTTTCTAACAAGGTGGTTGTCCTTTGGAATAGGTTGTCTTCGGATGTTGTGGATGCAGTAAATTTAAGTGAGTTTAAGAGAAAGTTTGAGAACTATATGAATGATAAGGACTGGCTTTAAGATTGAATTATTTATTTATTTATTAATAGTTTTAGTTTAGTTTAGAGGATGGGAGAGCCGAGATAGACAAATAAGTCCTTTGTTGTCCCTAAACATTATGTTATGCTATGTTATATATTGTTGCGTCAGCGAGGTCACGTGACTAGTGTCACGCCCCCTGTTTTCTGGAAATATCTTGTACCTTCGTGAATTGTCGGGAGATTACTAGATATAGGGTAGTCTGGTATATATAAGATGGTCACAACGTGACGGGAA